CCGTGCAAAAAGGCATTTTTAACATCAAGTTGATGAAGTGGCCAATCTAGATTAGCTGCAAGAGAGATGATCACACGAACATAATTCAGTTTGGCCACAGGAGATAATATCTCAGTATAATCAAGGCCATAAGTCTAAGTGTAGCCTTCAGCAACAAGTCGAGCTTTGAGACGGTCAACAGTACCATCAGGCTTTTGTTTAACAGTAAAAACCCAACGACAACCAACAACCTGAGTATCAGCAGGCTTAGGAACAAGGTCCCAAATATGATTCAATTTTAAAGTGTTTATTTCTTCTTCCATAGCATTCTTCCACCCTGGATGGGAAAATGCCTCCCTGTAGGACTTAGGAAGAGCAATAAAGGATAATGACAAAGAAAAAGCTTGAAAGGAGGAGGACAATATATTATACGATACAAAATTAGAGATAGAGTGATTGGTACAAGCCCGTTTACCTTTCCAAACAACAATTAGTTGATCAAGATCAGAGTCTGGAGAGATGAAATAATCTTCAGGCGTTGAAACGACCAGTGGAAGTGGCAAGGCTGGGTTTACTACTTCAGTCGTTGGAACATGATTAACGATTCTTTTCTGGCGACAAGCATAAACACAAAGAGCTGGTGGGATGTTAGAATCAAAAATTGGAGTTAGAAGAACAGACTCTTGAAGAATAAAGTCCTCCAAATGACTACCATCCTGGGAATAATAAGGAACATCCTCAAATAAAGTTACATCTCCACACACAAATTGTTTACGAAGCATTGGACTGTAACATTTGTTATCAAGGACTTATTTGTTATTACTTATATAATGTTAGGACTTATGTGTAATTTTTGAAACTTGTTATTATAAATAGAATGTGGTGGAAGGATGAAAGTATTCTTTTATTTTTTTCTCTCTTTCCCCATCTCTTTCTCTTTTTCTCTCATCTGCTTTCTTCTTTTCTTCTTCTTCTTCTTCTTTATCACTTACTTTTGATTTGATTATATCTTAAAGTCAACATGGTATCAGAGCATGGTTTGTAAAGCTCTAGGTTTGTAGTTGAAATCCTAGGGCAAGTTTGTGTAAACCCTAGTGGGTGTGAAGGGTTTTGAAGAGATTTCAAAATGGGATTTGTTTACAAGGAAATAGTGTTAATCACATCCACACGTACCGCGGATCCATTGCAGTCTCGATCGGTGTTTTTGTTGTGTTCACGGGGTTCTGTAACATCAGCTTTTTCTTTTGTCGTTCGCGATTTTAGTATAATCTACTTTGTTGTTTTCTAGGGTTTATGTGGTGACTGTGTGGTCGGTTTTTTATGCATCTCAGAAGACAGTAATATTTTTAGTTGAAGTTTGTGTGTTAGAGAGGTGGTTCTCTACGTATTTTGTTGCTATTTTTGTTTCTGGGGATTGTATACCCAGAAATTGTTTGATAAAATGTCTGGCTCAGAGGTGACTTCAAAAGAAGCTGGTTCTTTTCCTAATCTGACTCTAGTATTGGGAGGTAACAGTGATCACCATCCAGGCCTTCGTATTATGACTGTTAGGGGGGATGAGATGAACTATATGGAGTGGGCTCAATCTGCTCGTATACATATCACTGGTCGTAGGATGATCAACCATATCGAAGGGACTGTCACGTATCCCTCCAAGAACGATCCCGAATGCGAAGAGTGGGTGCAAATAATGCACTAGTTATGACATGGTTGTTGCAGTCCATGTAGCCACAGATCAGCAAATGGTTTCTATTTATGAAAACAGCTAAAGAGCTACGGACGGTTGTGGAAGAGACATATTCCTCGGTTAGTAATTTTGCAAAACTGTATGAACTCCAACAACAAATTTCAAGATTCAAGCAGGAAGATCAAACTCTTGCTACATATTACCACTTTCTACATGGTAAATGGGAAAAGTTAGATCACTACCAAGACTACATACCTATGTAAGCAGCTAATGTTAAAGCATTTCACGCTATAGTAAAAAGGAATCGAATCTATGAGTTCTTGGGTGGTCTGCATCCGAGATACGAGCATGCCAGGGTACAAGTGTTAGGTAGGTATCCAGCCTCTACTTCTGTTAAAGATGTGTTTTCGTATATCCAGGCTGAGGAGAGTAAAATGAAGGCTACGTCTACACCTATATACACTAAGCCTGAGCTAGAAGTACCATTGTCTAAGAGGTCTGCTCTTGCCACACAACAATGGAATAAGCCCAATCCTCCAAAAGGAGGGAAACAGGATGACAAAAACAAGTTGAAGTGTGATCACTGTGGGCGAACGCACCACACTAGGGAAACATGCTGGAATCTACACAATTGCCCTACTCCAGCTCCTATTAATGCGAATGCTAGGCCAAGGCCTAGTCCATTTAGGGGGTTACCTACGGCATATACTGCAGAGCGTGAGACTGCTTCTACTGGTTGTGCCTCCTCAGGGCCACCGAGTTCTTTGCCTAAAACTGAACATGATGCTTTCCGACATCTACTAGCACGACATTCCTCCATTTCCACCTCAAACTTCGCTCAAACAGGTACCTCTCATTCGCACATCAGGTTTCCACATTATCTGGTGGACCACCCTGGATCATTGATTCAGGAGCCACTGATCACATGACTGGTATGGCATCTGACTTTTCTTCGTACAGTTTATGTTCTAGTAAGGATAAGTTTAGAGTTGCCGATAGCACCTTCACCTCCATTGCAGGGAAGGGCACTGTTTCTGCCTCTCCTAATCTTACCTTATCCTCTGTTCTTCATGTCCCCAAGTTTACCAATAACATCCTTTCTGTCAGTTACATTACAAAAGGCTTGAATTGTAGTGTAACCTTTTTTCCATCTCACTGTGTGTTTCAAGACTTAGACACAGGGAAGACGATTAGAAGTGGACGTGAGGACAATAACTTGTATTTGCTGAACGTGAGGCCAACTTCTTATTATGTTACAAATCAATCTAGTGTTAGGAATAGCAATGTCAATAAAGATCTGTTAATGCGACGGTATAATAGACTACCCAGTTTGCTTCTGTTGAATCTTTTGAGTTAAATTGTGAAACATGCGTTCTTGCCAAACAATGTCGAGTTTCTTATCCTACTAATATTAATAAAAATACAGCTCATTTGCAGCTTGTTCATTCTAATGTATGGAGTTTTGAATCTACTACTTCGTTACTTGGTTTTCGTTACTTTGTTGTGTTTATTGATGACTTTAGTCGATATACTTGGCTTTATCTTATGAAAACCAAAGATGAAGTTCATTCCATTTTTAAAACCTTTCATAGGATGGTATGTACTCAATTTGGTTGTCCCCTCAAAATCCTTCGATCTGATAATGGAGGAGAGTTTATGTATGGTGGTCTTGCTTCCTTTTTTGCTAATAACGGGATTGTCCATCAAACCTCTTATGTCGATACACCACAATAGAACAGTGTAGCTGAAAGAAAACATCATCATATTGCGGAGGTGACCCATTCTCTTCTAATTGGGATGGGAGTGCCTAAAAGTTATTGGGCTGATGCAACCTTAACAGCTATATACCTTATCAATCGCATGCTTTGAAGGTTCTTGGCTATCAATCCCCCTTCTCTATCTTACACCATGACACTGCCGTGTTTACTGTCCCTCCGAAAGTGTTTGGTTGTGTTTGTTATGTTCACATTCATCATCGCAAGGACAAAATGGACCCCTAAGGCAATTCGATGTGTCTTTCCTGGATACTCCGCCACTCAGAAAAGGTATCGGTGTTATAACCCTACCATTTGTCATCGCTTTGTCTCCATGGATGTTACATTCTTTGAGTCTGTTCCTTTTTTTTTTTTCACTGCTCGGGATTCTCTATAGGGGGAGACTACTATACAGGTAGAGAATCCGTCGTCCATTCAAAGGGAATGCCCCCTTCCTTTGCCTGTTCCCACTCAGGGGGAGCTTCTTACTGAAGTGCATATGTCTAGTCCTCCAACACTAATGATTTGTAGCAGGGAAAGCAACCAATTATCTACACTAGGAGGGCAAAACAAATTATTGACTCGCCCCAGGACCAAGAAGTCTCCATCGATCCAAGTAATTCCTTAGTTGACATTGATACTCTTGATTCTTTTCACAATAGCATTTATGTTGATCTTGATGTCCCTATTGCCTATCGTAAGGGTATTTGTAGTTGTACAAAGCATCCCATATCTCAATTATATCCTATGATGCCTTATCTCCAACATATCGTGCTTTCACTTCGTGTATCTCCTTTATATCTATTCCTTCTAGTGTTTCAAATGCTCTCAGTCAAACTCCATGGAAGAAAGCTATGCTTGAAGAAATGAAGGCCCTTAAGAAGAATGGTACTGGGGATATTGTTCCATTACCTAGGGATAAGAAACGAGTATGCTGCAAATGGGTCTACGCAATAAAGTATCATGCAAACGAAACAATCAAATATAAAGTTCGGTTAGTTGCAAAGGGCTTCACTCAAACCTATGGAATTGATTATCTGGAAATATTCACTACAACAGTTATGTTTTTCACCAGCGCTCAGAAACGCTGGTGAAAGCCTAAAAAAACTAATTCAATTACCAGCGTTCATAGAAAACCGTTGGTGATTTCAGCGTTGGTAGGCCTTTACCAGCGCTTTTGAAAGAGCGCCGGTATTGTTACCTTTACCAGCACTCCTTAAAGAGCGGCATTAAGTCATTCCCAACACTCCATAAAGAGCACTGGTAGCAAGTCATTACCAGCGCTCACTAAAGAGCGTAGATATTAAGTCATTGCCGACGCTCCCTATGTAGCGTTGGTATTAAATAATACCAGCTCTCCATAAAGAACGCTGGTATTAATTATTTATCATCACTCATTAGGGAGCGCTAGTAAATTAGTCATTACCAGCGCTCATTTAATGAACGCTGGTGTTCCCAGTTTTAATTTTTTTTTATTTCCCCTTTATAAAGCCTGTTTTTATAAAACTACATTTGTTTTAATTTTTTTTTTTGAAGCTGCCAAATGTCATCCAATATAACACAAGTTGTCAATATGAAAATACCATCCAAATTGTCTACTAATAAATAAAGCTGCTAAATGTCAACCAAAAAGCCAAAATGTCTACTAATACAACCACAAGTGAACCTGCCAATATAAAAATACCATCCAAATTGTCTAGATAAAGCTACTAAATGTCAACCAAAAATAATTAAGAATTTTTGACAAAGGTAGTAGAAGTTTTCAAAAAGAACCCATCAAAATGTAGTGGAAGTTTTCACATTGGTCAAGGAAATTCAAAAAGCACAGCCACGACCCCATCTTCAGCTTCAACTTCGACAACTCCTGCCCATTTGATTTGAATTACCCTACATTTTTTATAAATTCATTAAGCGCACATTATAATAAATGAAAATTTAACATATAAGAAATTAGGGGTATTAGAATAAAATATAATGAAAATTTAACATATAAGAAATTAAAGTCCATAACCTTAACTGAATTGGCACGACTAGAAATTGAATTTGGGCATACTCTAGGAGCATTTAAAGAATCAGAACCCTTCAAAATAACAAAACAAAATTATACATGAAATCTTGGCATAAGTAAACTTATATTCAGTAAAGAGTAAAACTAATAATAAATATACCTGTCCACTACAATTTTGTTGTTACATCTGCATTAGCATAGCCACTTGTTTTTGTAAATTTTCCAATTTGTCGTCATAGTCGGCTCGTAAATTTTCCAACTTGTCATCACAGTCAGCTTGCATTTTTGAAATGGTGTTCTGCAACTCTACACGTGCAGCATGTGCATCCTCATCAGATTTTTTGGCTTTGTTAATGAGTTCAGCTTTACTAGGAGAGGGCCCCCAAACATCGCTTGGTGTAGGCCCCAAGCCAAGCATCCACACACAACCACTTCTCTCTCGTCCCCTCACAACGGAGTACAAATCATTGGAACTGCCGCGAGTCATAGTATGGGCTGTTTTTGAAGATCTTTTACGCTTTGCTACACACAAAAAAAAAAAAAAAAAATTAAATAAATAAAAAAATAAATTAAAATAATTAATTAATTAATTTACCCATTAAACGTTTAGGAGAAGTAACTTAATTAAAGGATATGTAAATACTCTAACTATTAAATTATTTATTTGCAATAAAAAAAATATATCTTTTTCACCAAATTAATTATGATCTTAACAGCCTCTATCACGAGCATAATCTTCAAAAAGCCCAATACAAGGGCCTTCATAATGACATGCCCACCACTTGTCCAGCTCCACTGGAGAGACTAGTAGAGAGATGAAAAAGTACAATGGCGTTTGTAAACTCCTACAAAAATTAAGAGGAATGGCAAATTGGTCCATCACAATTCCTTAAAATCCAAAACAACTATATATATATATATATCTATATATATATATATATATGCAAATTAAGCAACAATTACTACCTTTTACCTACTATGTTGCTTGCTTTTTGATTGAGAAACAAAATATATACCAACCTATAACAGAATGCTCTTTAATTCCTGCTGGTTGCTTTTTTTTCCCAATGACAGTTCCTTATGTACCTGACAAACAAAATAAATATCAACGACATCTAAAAGGCCCAAATGAATATCAAAAGCCTATTCATGAACAAATTAACCAAATTGTCATTTTATGGTGTAAAAAGGGACAATGAAAACTTGCTACTATTGAAAAGATAAGAATTGAAAGGAAATCAATTTGTAGTTGGTCCTATTCCATACCAAAAAATAAATAAAAAATGTGGTGTACGTGTAACTGCATTGATTGCCTATTTAGAAAAAATATGGAAGGTGGCCTTCATGACCTCTCCTATGCACTGGACTATTGTAACAGATCATATGCTTGCTTCTAGATCCAAAAACTCTCTTCCATGCAATCCTAATTCCTTAATGAGACTCCTCAGGAGTACGAGACTAAGCTCTTTCACACATTTTTTTTTATAAAGTGAAATGCACAAGAGAATGCAAGACCAACCTTAATAAGTTAAATGTATCTTTTCAATTTCGCTAAGTTCTTAGATATATTTGAACTTGATATTCTATATATTTAAACTTTGAAAGATAATTTTGAAATTTAAAAAAAAACAATGCACTAAATGCATCGTGCTCTTCAAAAATTATAAAATCCAAAATGGAAGAATTAAAATAAGACAAAATATAATACATTTAATTTAGTATTCGTTGATATTTCATGTGTTTAATCTATGGCGTCTAAATACTGAACTGCACGTATGCATATATACATACAATTTAACCATGTATTTGTTCATTTCTTCTCACAAGTTTAACAAGTCCAATAAACCTGTACACATACTCCTTTCTGTGATCCGTCAAATAATATAAAAGGTTGAGTTCAAACATTCACTTCAAGAAAGTTATCTATAAAAGACTAATTGCAATCCGGTTATAAATTATTTGGGCTCGGAATTTGCAGAATGCATCAAAGTAGAATGTGTAATAGTGGCAAACCAAAATGCAATTAATCAAGCCGAATGTTGGTCCAATATTTCCTTGTGAATTTCATTAATTGGAGAGAGAGCAAAAAGTTTCTTCCAGCTTTATACTGTACAAAGCTCTAAAGCTCTACTACTATAAAAAGAAACGATTTTTCTTTTTCAACCTTGAAAATATGAAGGAGCAGCATCAAATGACAAAGCAATTAAGGAAAAAGGATAACTGGAAGGCACCCATTTATTGTGGAGGAAGGGTTCAATTTTACTAAACTATGATTAGGAAGAGTGTTATCAAAGATTACAGCCCAGATCCACTTTTTTTTTCTTTTTGTTTTTTAATTGAAAACATTATTATGGACAAACCAAAACCAGTGATTTAAATATTAGCGCAATCAATACTAAATTAATAAATGCAAATATATATATTTGACAATAAAATGTCTAGCAAACAGAAGTCATTTTTCTGATTAAGCTCCCATAATATTTTCCTACTCCAAACTCAAAACTACGACATCATTTGAAACAAGAAATGTTGGATTTCAGAAAGAAAAAAAAAAAAAAAAAAAAAACACACACACACAAACAGCTACACAAACAATTACAGTAAAAAGCAATTGAAACGAAACCCCTCTAAATTGAAAACCGTTTACTCTATCATCAAGAAATTAAATAAAAAATAGAACTTGAAAAGTAAATCAAGCACAATCTAAATGGAACAGCCAAACCAAACCTAGAAATCACAAGCAATTAAGATAGAAATTGAATTACCCAGTAGATTCAATAGAGAGAGAGTACCAAAGAGAGAGCATATGAAGATCGCCTACTCCCGACTTCATGCCTGAACTGCTAGAGCAAGGAATAGCATGGAAAGCTGACTGCAAATTGGAACCTTCGACCAATTTCAACGAGAGAGAATGATCCTACATTGCCAAGAGATTTCCCCCAAAGTTAGGTTTGACATGTCAATGAGCTCATCAACATTAAGTGGGTTTGAGATTGAAGTAAGACAGAGTGTATATAACTACAAGAAGAGTGAAAGAGAGGCGATTTGCGATTCAATCTTACCTTTCAATTGATTAATCAGTTTTAATCGAAGAAATAGAGGGCTAACGCTGAAATAGAGTTTTACAACAGAGGAAAGAGAACCAGAGCGTTCGATATATATATATATATGATGGGTGAGAAATAGGCAGCTGTGATGCAAAACAAAACTGATTCTCTGATCAGCCAAGGTGGATAAGGGCTGGAGGTAGGACCAGGCGGCTTGATTGACGAGGCGGTTGCGTATGGAGATCTTGCAACTGCCTGACACTAGCACGGCAGTGGTGGTGGGGGACAGGACACTGGCGGTGGAGGGGAGGAGGTCCTTTAAGGAGGTGTAGGACAGGGGGGTTTGATGAGCTCCAAATCCACGGTTGGGAATGATGGTGTTGATGGAAGGAGAGAACCACGGTTTAGAACAAAAAAAAACATCGTAGTTTAGGAAAATAATTTTATTTCAGAAAATTTTCAGCCCGGGAAAACGCAGAGGTAAGGAAAATTTTGGCTATTACCAGCGTTCAAAAAGAACGCTGGTAATTACAGCGTTTACAATGGTTTAAATAGGGCTATATCAGCGCTCTTTCACCAACATTGGTAATTAATACCCAACACCAGCGGTCTTAAAAAGAACATCGGTTAATCCCTATTTTGTTGTAGTGATTTGCTCCTGTTGCCAAGATGAACTCTATACGTGTTCTTCTTTCTTTTGGCAGCTAATATGAATTGGCCCTTACATCAGGTAGATGTAAAGAATGCTTTTCTTCACGGTGACTTAGAGGAAGAGGTGTATATGACTATGCCATCAGGGTTTAAGTTTGTTAATAGTCAGAATTTAGTGTGCAAGCTAAATAAAGCTTTGTATGGGTTAAAGCAGTTGCCACGTGCTTGGTTTGAGAGGTTCAGCGCTGCTGTGAAAAGAGTAGGGTACACACAGAGTCAGGCAAATCATACTCTCTTCATCAAGAAGCACCAAGGCTACACCACTGCCCTTATTGTATATGTTGATGATATTGTTATCACTGGAAATGATCCAGAAGAGATTTATCGAATGAAGTCTTTCTTAGGGACAGAATTCGAGGTTAAAGACCTCGGATCATTGAGATACTTTCTTGGCATCGAGGTGTGCAGATCGAAGAAAGGTGTGTTCATTTCTCAACGGAAGTATGTGTTAGATTTGTTGGCTGAAACAGACAGGCTTAGAGCTAGACTGATTGATATTCCCATTGAGCAAAACCATAAGCTTAATGATGTAGATGGAAACCCATTAGATGATGTGGGAAGATTTCAGCGATTGGTTGGGAGACTGATTTACTTATCTCTCACGTGCCCGGATATTGCCTATATTGTTAGTGTTATTAGACAGTTTACGCATACTCCACGTTCACCTTACCTTGAGGTAGCTCATTATGTTCTTCGCTAGCTCAAGCACCTGGTAAGGGGATATTGTTTGGCAGTCATAGCCACTTGCGTGTTGAAGCCTATACTGATGCTGATTGGGTAGGGTCTGTGACAGATCGACGATCTACTTCAGGATATTACACATTTGTTGGAGGTAATCTTGTTTCATGGCGAAGAAAAAAATAGTCTGTAGTAGCTAGATCTAGTGCAGAGGTTGAGTTCAGATCCATGGCACATAGAGTTTGTGAGTTGTTATGGCTACGTACGATATTAGGTGAGTTGGGTTATCTTATTCGCGAGTCAATGAAGTTGTATTGTGACAACAAGGCTGCTATTAGCATTACCCACAATCCAGTTCAACATAACAGGACAAAGCACATTGAAGTTGATTTACACTTCATCAAGGAAAAGCTTCGTCTTGGGCTGATTTGTACTTCATACGTCAATACACATGATCAGGTTGCTGATGTTTTGACTAAGGGTGTAAGCAAGACTTGCTTGCAAAATATATTAGTCAAGCTAGACATAATAGATATCTTTGCATTAGCTTAAGGAGGAGTGTTGTCAAGGGTTTATTTGTTATTACTTATGTAATGTTGGGGCTTATATGTAATTTCTGAAACTTATTATTATAAATAGAATGTGGTGGAAGGATGAAAGTATTATTTCATTCTCTCTCTTTCACCATCTCTTTCTCTTTTTCTTTCATCCGCTTTCTTCTCTTTTTCTTCTTTTTTATCACTTCTGATTTGATTAGGTTCGCATGCGCTTTACACACCTATGATATCGATATAGTGCGTATAACCCCCCATCGTTTGTTCACCTAATTATACTTTAAAAATGGTGCGGATTAGTGCCTTTTGGGCGTTGACCTCTATTGACCAGTACCGGAACTACAAAAAGACTAAAATAGCCTTCTATCTATGATTTAAAAATAATAATAAAATAACAAAAAATGGGAAAAGAGTAAAATAGCCCTCTATCAATACTCCATCTCTATTCTCGTTCTCGACTCTGAACTTGCCCTCTTTCTCTCTCTCTCTGCAACTGCAAACTACAAAATTTACAAGAATCAGAAGTTCAAAACCCATATATTTAAGTTTATTTATCAGTCTACAAGAATCAAAAGTTCAAACCCATATCGGCATATCATTTCAGCCTCCCCAATCACCTCCATCTCTATTATCATTCTCAACTCTGAACTTGCCCCCTCTCTCTTTCTCTCTGCAACTGCAAACTACAAAATCTACAAGAATCAAAAGTTCAAAACCTATTACCTACATCAAAACCCATATTGGCATATCATTTCAAATTGTTCAAAAAATCAAAACCCATATCTTTCAGTTTCCATTGCCCGCTGTTCCAGTTCGGGTTCGCCGTTCGCAAGCTTCAGCCACTGTCTCTCAACTCTCAAGCTTGCCCCCCTCTCTCTCTCTGCAACTGTTAACTTGTATGTATGGGTTTTGTTTTTATTTTTTTTCTAAATCAACTAATCAAGGTCTATAATTCTTGTTTTGCAAACTAAATCCTATTTGGTGAAATTTTTTATGATCTAATTTTTTTTAGGGCAAATCATTTCAGCCTCCCCAATCGTCTCCATCTCTATTCTCGTTCTCAACTCTGAACTTACCCTCTCTCTTTCTCTGTAACTGCAAACTACAAAATCTACAAGAATTAGAAGTTCAAAACCCATATATACTATATACAAATATATATATATGGTGAAGGGTAGTAAAGGAATATTAAAAGGGCATTTCCGGAATAAAGGCTTTAAAATGGTCATTTGCCATGCACATGACCAACTGGCGTCCAATTCTCATCGTAATAGTCACCGGAGGTGGCTTAATTGCACATTTTTATATCTAGTATGGAGTCATATAAATAAATCTAACTAAAGGAGTGTCATTCGCACAAATTTAAAACCACATAGGTGTTTTTCAGACTTTCCCCATTTGATTATATCTTAAAGTCAACAACATTTATATCCCTTTGAATGCGAGAATAACCTAAAAAAATACATTAGTGAGCACGAGGATCAAGTTTGTCTTGTCCTAGGCTTAAGATTATGAACAAAATAAATACACCCAAACACCTTTAGAGGAAAGAAAAAAGGGTTTTTGTCAGAAAACATCATTTGGAAGAGTGATTTTCCTTGAAGGACCCTAGAAGGCATGCGGTTTAAAAGATAAGCAGCAACCAAAACTGCATCTGCCCAAAAATATTTTGGAACATGTATTTGAAGTATTAAGGCACGAGCGATAGCTAGGAGTAGGCCATTCTTCCGTTCAGTAACTCCATTTTGTTGAGGGGTATCAACACAAGATGTTTGATGAATAATGCCCCTCAACTTAAGAAATTTTTGAAAAGCATAAAGTGTATATTCAAGGGCATTGTCAGTTCTAAGAATAAGTAATTTTGCATCAAACTAATTTTGAATTTCAACATAAAAGAATTGAAAAATAGAGAATACTTGAGATTTATCTTTAAGAATATAAACACAAGTTAAACATGAATAATCATCTAAATGACACAAAATAACGAGCACAAAATAAACCGGTAGTACGAGCTGGTCCCCAAACATCCGAATGTACTAACTCAAAAGGTTTTAAACTTTTATTATCAAAACGAGACTTAAAAGTAGCCTCACGATGTTTACTTAGAAGGTCGCAAGTAGTACAATTAAACTTAGCAAAATCAACTAAAGAAGGGACCAAGGCTCGAAGACTATTTGAAGAGGGATATTTAAGGCGGTAATGCCACTGGTAAGCTGAAGAGGAGATGGAATGTAGATGTATTGAGTACCAGAAAACAATTCTGTGGTAGCGTAAAACAAATACAATTTTTCACAAATTTCTTTCCCCCTTTCCCAATCTTCATTAGTTGGCAATCTAGTGTAAAGTCTCTCACGTTGTTTTAATCGTGGGAACACATCTTTATAATACAAAGCAACTTCAAGCATAAGATATGTTGAGTTCCAACGAGTTTTACAATCAAAAGCTAACTTTTTAGTATAAGGGATCTTTAATTAGCGAGCAGCTTCTTCAAAATTTTCAATTCTACTTGGTGTTGCTGTCCAAAAATAAACACTATCACGTATTCTTTCTATCCCATCCCCAATTACTTCCAACCCATCTTTAACAATTAAGTAGAAGATGTGTGCACAACATCTCGTGTGGAAAAAGCTTCCCTCAAGTAAAAGTGCATTAGAATCAAGCTTGTCTAAAAGACAACAAATGATAACATCATTTGTGGGCAATTATCCAAAAAAATTGTGGATAACTTCCTATCTATATTCCAATCATAAAAGGTATCCATAAGAACTTTAGAAAGGACTTCCTTATTATGTGGAGCGGGAACATACAAAAACCTAAAATGAATCAAAATAAAAAAAAATCTTAATTAATTAAGTATAACAAGTGAAATAAATAAAATAATTGAATATCTAGTGAATAAACATAAATATGTAAATGAAGAAACTAATATTAGTCTATTACCTCAAAATTCTTTGTTGCAACTCCCAAGAATCATCGATAAAGTGGGCTGTTATTGCCATGAAACCTTTCTTTGAATGATTGCAAGTCCACATATCAGAAGTGATGGCAACTCTACTCCCAATGGTCTCCAACAACCACGATGTTTTAGCTTTCTCAGATTCATAAATACTTAAGATGTCCCTTTTGATTGTATTTCGAGAAACCAACTTAAACATTGGTTGAAGGGCATTAACAAATCTTCGAAAGCGGGAATGTTCAAAAATGGAAAGTGGATACTCATGCACTATGATCATGCCCGCAAGCTCATCACGTGCAACTTTTGCAGCTTGTTTATCAAACAGAGAAGTGCGACATTCCAACTGTCCATCCATCTTTTTCAGATTTTGTTGCGAAACAAACTGTCTCATATCCTTGTTTCCAACTTTCTTACACCTTTTTAAATGGTCGCGCAAGCTACTTGTTCCATTCTTACTAGGTGCTTTCAACTTTGAAGTGCAATGGTTGCAAACACTATACTCTATCCCATTTATCTTTACCTTCTTAAAATCATTCCACACAGCTGATGTTATTTTTTTTTTCTTGGGCGAAGTTGCTGAAATTAAGACTTGATTCATCAATTGTATTTGTATCTTTCATTGGAGCAGAATCTGTCATTGGAGCAAAATTAGGGGTTGGAGATGAGTTATCATTTGATGATAAATCTACAATCTTCCTTTTATCACCCTGTGACATCTTTCAATTTATTTATACTGCAAAATAGACAACAAAAAATAATAAAATTAAAATGATATATAATAATAATTAAGTTAATAACCTTTAAGTCCCATGCTGAAAAGAATAAGAGACAATTCTAAATCATTGACCACAACATATCAGTTACAGTGTTAAGAAAAATATAGTGAAAAAAAGTCAACCCAAAAAAAAACAAATCGCGTAGGGGGATGGGTGATGTGAATCCTCGGTCTGCCAAATGTAATAATATATTCTATATATACATGTAATATATATAATATATTATATTTATAATATATTACTTGTATATATAATAATACTATATTACTATAATAGAACTACTTCTTTTCTTCGTGGACAATTGGGGATTCTATTGAAATATATAAAATATACTATATATGTATAATAAATATATAGAATATATTATATATATTTCAATAGATTCTTCATTCTATAAGAGAGAAGTGCATAGAGTGAATATAGAAAGACGTATGCTCAATAGCACGATAAAATACAACATATGAACTGTGAAAAGAATATATGAAAATAATATAAAACAATTTTCTTGGTACAATTTCAACATTCCTTTACTTTCACAGTTTCACATTCTTTTCCAATTGGTGAAATATATAATAATATATAGACACAAAAATATAAAAGCACACGTTGAAATATATAATAATATATAGACACACAGATATAAAAGGAATTAGAAATATAGAAAAGAGAAAAGGAGATAACTGACCCCTAAAGATCAGGCTGACAGTGACAGATTGACAGGTAGGTGCCGCTGACAGTGAAGAAGATTGAAGAGTAATCGAGCGTTGTGACTTGTGAGATCTAGGGTTTCTAATGTGAGCATATATACTAAATAAAATATGGATAATTAATTAATTAGTTATTGGGTGACGGGTAGGCAATTAATTAATTACCTATTGGGCGATGGGTAGGCGTCGCTGAGAATAATGATGTGAATGAGAGAGTTAAGAAAACATAGGGTTCCTAATTGGAAATAATAAATATATATAATAATCAAATAAGGGTAGTTAAGTAATTTCTATATCTAAACGGGGCGGGGTGGGGCGACCTCCCCCCGCCCCTGCACCAAACCTGCTCGGCTTTTTGATATATCAAACCATCCCCGCCCAATTAGCTAAACGGTCCCCCAAAACCGCCAAAAACAGGGCAGGGCGGATAACCGCGGGGGCGGGTCAAATTGCCATCCCTAAGCGGAACCAATTCCATGAATAGGCGATTTGGCACCATTCGCTATAGTAACAACCGATGATGAGAGAACATGAGAAATATCAGAAAAAAGAGATGGGTTACCTGTTATGTGATCGGATGCCCCTAAATCAATGATCCAAGGTGTAGTAGAGGAAGCATGGAGACACGTGTTAGCTAAAGTAACGATAGTAGCGGTGGAGGAGGGTTGATTTGCACGCTCCCGCTTTACCAGAGAATTATATTCGACTTTGGAGAGAACGACTTGTTTATTCATAGGAGTGGGAGTAGTCTCCTCCGAAACCGAAGCTTGATTAGCCCAAGCTGGCTTGCCATGAAGAGCCCAACACAAGTCAACATAGCGATTGTTTCAGCCACAATAAGTAGACTTCTTGCTACCGTGACCCCCTATGCCGCCACGAGTACCACGGCCTGGGTTGAAAGGACCTCTACCCCCTCGTCCTCCACGGAAAGTATCATGTCACCGAGTAGGAACAAAAATAGCAAAGTAGTTGTCCTTCTCAATCATCGGGACATGAATAGATGCTCTTCTAACTCGAGCAAAAGTCTCACTTGCTGTGGGTATCTCCTTGCCAGACAAAATCTGCGAACTGATCGGAGCTAGTCCGGGTTTAAGTCCAGATAAAAAAATTGTCACCCGAAACTCCTTCCTGTGCCGTTTTTGTTGTTCTATGTCTATAGTCAATGGTTGGTAGACATTCAATTCTTCCAACATGCCTTTCAATTCTGAGTAATAATTTTCAACAGAACGATCTCCTAGCTGGAGATTAAAAATATCCTGGTACAACTGATAAATTCGAGAAATATTCTTCTCTGAAGAATACGTGTCCCTGAGACTTTCTCAGATATCTTTGGCAGATTCTGGGAATGACACGTTGTTGAAGATCTCAAGCTCCAAGCTGATCCATAACCAAGTCATAATCTGAGCATCTTCTTTCTCCCAAGCCTCAATAATCTTTTCATCACTGGTGGGTTTGGTTGATTTAAGATATGACAGTTTTCCTTGAGCCCGTAAGAACACCTCTACGGCTCGAGACCATTGAAGGTAGTTTGAGCCTTTCAGTTTGGTGCTGGTGATTGACCCAAGTAGATGAGATTCCTTCGTTTCCATCACAAAAGCTGCCGAACAAATGAGATATAGTAACGAGAGGGAACCGAGATAAGAGAACTAAGATCTAGCCGAGATGAACCCGAGAGAAATTATCGAGGAGAGAGCCGAGGAGAGATCCGAGAGAGATTGCCGAGACGAGAACTGAGATCACCGAGGAGTGATCGCCGAGAAGAGATTGCTGAGAGAAAGCCAATTTGGGATCCGAGAGAGATTGCCAAGACGAGAACTAAGTTCACCGATGAGAGATCGCTGAGAAGCAATTGCTGAGAGAAAGCCGAGATGGAATCAAGAACGGAGTCTGAATAAGAATTTAAAAAAAAAAAAATTTAAGAGTGATCGATTTCCGCTCTGATACCATGTTGAAAGAGAGAGAGAAAAAGAATATATGAAACCGTATATCTTATTGAGTGAGTAATACAATGGTGTTTATATTGGAGAAGCTACGAGAGTAGGTGAGTGGAGAACAAATAAACCCTATACATGGTAATTCTATATATGGTAATGAGGGATAGGTGACAACTCATACAATAGTAACTGTACACGTGTGACAACTCATACAATACTGTACAACGTGACAACCCATACAATACTGTACAACAGATATCAAAGAAAGATCTTAATCTGGACAAAACAAGTAAAACATTTATAGAAAACGAGGGGGAAAAGAAATCCTGGGTTAAGGATTCATGTGAATTGTGATTTAAGTTAGGATGATGAACTAGTTTTGGCTTGCTAAATGTAGCTAAAACATCATGGACACTTATTGAATGTACAGAAAAGGCCACCGGAATATATGTTGGAAGGTGACTGTAGTAACTTCGGAGTGGAAGAAACTAGGTAGTTAATATTAGTGGCAACCACTCCCTCCCTAAAATCTAATAAGATGTTATAACCTAATGTATACCATGAAAATTGGAGGAAAAATTATTTCAAAGAAAATGATTTAGTCCCTGCCTCAAGTAAATAATCCTAATCGTTTTCATTCTCTTTCACAATATCGCACACTTTTTTTGTTTTTTTTTCCCAACAATTAAGAGAATGACAGTTCATTTTTCATTGAGTTGGATTGAATTTTTTTTCCATAAATTATAATGTTACATGGTTGAAAAATGTAAAAAATTTCACAAGCTGATTAATAAAAATGACAATAAATTAATCTGATAAGATGTCTCACCTTTGAGATTAAGCAATACAAATATGAACAATAATAAGATTGCAAGACTACTCCAATTATGTGCTCATGAAGCTGCCCCAAAACACATGCACAAACTGAACATTCGACAGTTGCTGAGAAGGTAAAAAGAGAAAAAATAAGTTTACCGTAAAAGGACAATTTCAATTGTATCATCTGCTTTCTATATCTACATTGATGGAAGCTGAACAAGCAAGCATTTATATATATATCTGCATGTACATATAAATGAAAATTAATATACTTCTATTAAAAAATACGTCTTAAAGAGTATATATATATATATATAAAAATAAAAATACAAAAAAGGGATAATTACTAGCTTTTAGTTGCGATTCGTAGAATATATTGTGCAATATTATTTTTTTAGCAATGACTAATCCAACCAATCTTACGTAATAATAATAACAATCAAAGAGAGAAGAACAAGATGGAGTGTGTTTTTTTTTTTTTTTTTTTTGAAAGACAGATTCGTTAGCTTCCCAAGGCCTTGAAGAAATTGCATGTCATCATGTCATCTGGATCCTCACTTTTCCTTAAAAAGAGAGACTTCAAATTGGAAAGGGGAAGAAGTGAAGAAGATGAAGAGGACGATGACATGGTTGCGACTGTATCTTTTGTAGTCGTAGAGATTGTTGGGGTTGGGAACACTGTCATCATTAACTCTTGTTCTACTAGCTTCTTGCTGACGGCACTGATTCCTAGTTCTTCAAGGCATGGTTGCAGAATAGGCATTGATGCCAGATAAAGGCATTTTTCAATGGTTAATTTGGAAAGAGAAGGAAATAATGGGAACCAACTAAGTAGTGACTTCTTCACATGTTGTTGATGTTGCTGTTGGTCCAGTAAAGTTGTCATTGCCGTTACTGTTGCTTCTTCTTCTACTGCTTCGCTCCTCCATCATCCCTTCAAGTTAGGCAAACACAAGAGTTGGAGTTCTTTCCGGGATGGGAAGAACGTTGGTGTTGGTTCTGATCTTCTTATTGCTGCTGCTGCTCCTCCTCCTCCACTGCATGAAGATGTAGAAGAGGTAAAGACGAAGAGAGGGACTCCTCACCGCCACTACCACTGCCACTCCTACTGTTGTATACGCAGTCCATGGATCCCATTTAAAAAATACTCAGAAATTGGAGAGAAGGAAGTTGCCCAAATAATGGAAGATGTATCCATGCACATAATAATATATCAATTCTGACTTGATGTAAAACACGCAGATTAATGGAAAACAAAATGAATAATGACCTGAATCAGGTTTTTCAAGCTTAATCCTTTGCCTTGATCATGAGCACCAATAGAGACAATAAGTCTCCAGTAAATTTGTAAAATCCTTTCTCCCGACTCTCCTCCATTGCATAAAATCTTATCTAGACTACTAACATTCATCCCTACATCAGGGGGAAAATTCCACATTAAAGATCCACGTGAATTGTGATCAAAGTTAGGATGATCAAATAGTTTTGCATCCCACAATGGAGCTAAAAGATCATGGGCATATACAGAAATGGCCAAAGAAATATAGGTTGGAAGCTACTCTAGTAACTTAGGAGTGTAACAAAAAAATAAGTAAATATCTGCTTTTGTTAGTGCATCATGCCAGTAGACAGTCTCTGACCTAGTTTCATTATATCTTTATAGGAAAATTTGTCACAAGTAAGGCATACTGTAAAAACTGGAGCCAATATTGTTTTAAGGAACGTGATTCTGCCTCATATCAGCTATCCTTATATTTTTCTTTGGCCTCCACAATTTTGTGTAATTTGTTTTCCAACAATTAAGAGAACGGTTCATAAGGTGGAATTTTCTTACATAAGAGCCAAAATTTGCAAAAAATGAGAGTTACCAGACTAGAGTAGAAAAGAATCTAAAATTTTCACAATGCAGTTCATAGAACTTCTAAACATAGAAAAAGAAAAAAAGAAGCTAATGATACGTCTCACCTTTGACATTAAACAAAATTTAATTATGTGCTCATCAAGTGCTACCCCCGAACACCTGCACAAGCAAAACATTCGCATTTCCAAGAAGGTCAAAATGGAGATATAAGATAATGGTAAAAGGACAATTTCAATAGTATTTGTTGAAATACCTTTATTATATATTATTTTTATTTTTATTTTTGTTAGTTATTTTTAACCTTTTCTCCGGTGTTTTATGTAAGATCCCTATAATCATGGGATCACATAGATAAGATCCCTATAATCAAGGGACTACTTAGACTTTGGCATATTTCTTGTTTCTCTTTGATTTGGTTTTCTTTATTTGTACCATATTCTTGTATATAAATATGGAAAATGATAAGGGGGTGAAGGATAACCCCCGAAAAAACGATCGAATCTAATGTGGCCAAGCCATTCTCTAAAACTTCTTGCGCGTGAAGAGTAAAAGAGCCATCATGTGCTTAGCTCACCCCCAAAAAAAAATTGTTTGAGAAAAATACGAGGAAGGTAATGGACCCATGTATACTATGCAGATGACCGGAAGAAGATGGGTATATACAAATAGAAATACATATATATATATATACACACACAATTACATATATATATATTGGTTATAGATCATAAATATTCAAAGATTTTTTTCTACAAATTTCTCAATAGATTTAAGTATTACTCAATAATCTGATTTTAAGAATTACATGATCATCTTGTATTCGAATCACGCAAAAAATATTCAGGAGTATTCACAACATCACTCTTTAATTCGGGATTGGCTCTCTCTCTATCTAGGGTTTTGAATCAGTTTTCTTCTCCAGCAGCAATTCAATCGGTACAGTGATTTAATTTGATGTATCTATTCCGTGTAAATTATAAATTCTAAGATATACTACATAACAAGATAAAGATAAGTCTGATTCCTAAAACAAGGATAAAGATAAGTTCTCTCTAATTTTGGAGACTTCTGAGTTTTCTGGTATTCTTTTTCACGATATACAATCACCTTCCCACCTTCTTTGTTTTTTTTTTACCTGCACGTGATGGGCTCTTTTGCTCCCTCACGTAAAAGGGGTGAGAATCTAACGTGGCCAAGCTAAGTCAGGTTCGGTGATTAATCCGGGGGATACCTTTTGGTTCTCCTATCAATACTCTATAAATATAACTCTTGGCTCTTGGGTTGAGTAAACCAAATCCCAAAACTTCTTCTTTTGTATAATCTCCTTTCTATATCTACATTCATGGAAGTTGCATAAGCAAAAACATATATATATATATATATATAAAGAAAAATGAGGATTTATATATTTCTACTAAAAAATATGCCTTAAAGAGTGTTTAAAAAAAATAAAATAGAAAGGGAGAAGAAAGAAAAACTAGAGAGGATAATTACTAAATTGTAGTTGGAGACATTTCTGTCGTCGTTAAGTTGTAGCATAATGCAGGCAGAAAAATGGAAGATAATATGTATAATGACCTGAATTAGGTCTTGCAACCTTAATCCTTTTCCTTTATTTCGATTACCAGTAAAGACAAAAATTCCAAAATATCCAATTACAGCATAAATTTTTTTCCCAACTCACCTCCATTCCACAGAATATTGTCTAGACTACTAATGGTCATCCCTAGAGCTTTGGCCATTTACTTTGAAGCTGCTCATGCTCACTAGTTTTTGTAATCATCCAATTGGCTGCTTCCACTTCTGTTTCTTCCTGTAATTTTGCAGAAACTTCATGCTAATTAATGTGAAAGAAGGGCCTTAATCAAAGCAAAACAAGTCAAAAATTTCTAGCAAGCAAGGGAAAAATTTTCTGTACTAAAGAACCATGTGAATTGTGGTTACAGTCGGATTGCTCAATGTAGCTAAAAGATCATGGCATTTCAAAATATATGTTGGAAGCTAATTCTTGGAACTTAGAAGTCGAAGAAACTAAGTGGTAAATAATGAAGACCTGCATTTTGTCGTTGCATCATCGTGATTGATGTTAAGTAGTACTATCATTATGGTCGGTCAAGTAAAAAGACTTGGCTTGCCTGTTAAATGACAAGTATATAATCTTTTGTTAGTGCATAATGCCAATAGGAAGAGTCAATGTACCTAGTTTCATTATATGTTACAAGCAAATTTGTCATAACTTAACGAATACCATGAAAACTAAGAAAAAATTAATTTAAAGAAATGTGATTAGTCCCTGCCTTGAGCAAATTATCCTAATCCTTTTCTTCCTCTTTCACAAATTTGCAGTGAATTATCCTAACCCTTTTCTCCATCATTCACAAATTTGCACACTTTTTCCCAACAATTAAGAGAAGGATAGTTCATTTCACATTGTGTTGGATGGAATTTTTTCTTAAATTGTAATTTTACATGGTAGGAAAATTGTAAAAATTTCAGAAGGTGGTTCATAAAAGTGATAAAATAATATAATCTAATAAGATGTCTCACCTTTGAGATTAATCAATATGAATATGAAGAAGACTGTAAAAGTACCCCAATTATGTGCTCATGAAACTGCCCCGGAACACATGCACAAACTGAACATTCGACGTTTCCTAAGAAGGTAAAATACAAAAAAATAAGTTTTTGTTTAAGGACAATTTCAATAGTATCATCTGTTTTCTGTATCTATATTGATGGACGTTGCACAAGCAAAAAAACACACACACACACATAAATAAATAAAACGAGGATTTATATATTTCTACTAAAAAAATTGTCTTAAAAAGTGTAAAATAAAAAAAAAATAAAAATAGAGAGGATAACCACTAAATTGTAGTAGTTGGAGACATTTCTTGCTTTGTTTCCTCGTGCTAGTCTGTCCAATAAAAGATCAATTGAAGTTAAATAAAGAGAGCCACAGTGAAGGGGTAGAGAGAGGAATAAGATGGAGTTTTACAGTCTTAAAAAAATTCAGATCAGGAACGATTTACCTCTACTTTCACAGAAGAAATTTTGGATGTGAGCAATCTTTGGCCAATCTTCCCCTGTTTCTTCCTGGCATCTATCATATAGCACTTTGGCGCAATATGTAATTGTGAGTTGTTGTAATGCAGTGAGCTGGCGCATCCCATCGGACAGTGATGTCAATTCGCAGCAGAATTCAATTTCAAGTCGTTCAAGTGATGTGAGGTTCCCTATCCACTCCGGTAAAGTCTTCAAATTATGACACGACTTAATCTGCAGTGTTTGAAGAGTGGTAAGATGTTGAAGCCCCACAGGAAGAGATACCAACTCTGGAATAAAACAGATAGACAGATTCCTTAGGTTCCTAAGGCCTTGAGGAAATTGCATGTCGTTATCGTCACCTAGATCCTGGATATTCCATAACGACATAGACTTTAAGTTGGAAAGAGGAAGATGCGAAGAAGATGAAGAGGTTCCAACTATATCTGTAAACGTGGTGGTCGTAGAGTTGGTTAGTGGGGTTGGGGACACCAATGTCATCATTAACTCTTGTTCTACTAGCTTCTTGCTGACCTCATTGAGCTCTAGTTCTTCAAGACATGGTTGCAGAATAGGCATTGATGCCAGATTAGGGCAACCAATAATGGTTAATTTGGAAAGAAAATGAAATGATGGGAGCTTCAAATGTTGTTGTTGATGTTGCTGTTGGTCCACTAAAGTTGTCGTTGTCATTGCTGTTGTTGTTGCTTCTGCTGCTGCATCACTCCTCCACCATCCCTTCAATTTAGGCAATCCATGGAGTGTGAGTTGTTTCAGGGATGGGAAAAATGTTGGTGTTGGTGCTGGTTCCGATCTTCTTATTGCTGCTGTTGCATCTGTTGCTCCTCCTCCTCCTCCTCCCCCTCCAATTGAAGAAGAGGGTAAAGACGAAGAGAGGGACTCCTCACCACCACTGCCACTGCCACTCCCACTACTGTTGTCTATGTACTCCAGGTATTGCATACCCATGAGACTCAGAAATTGGAGAGAAGGAAGTTGCCCAAATAGCGGAAGATGTTTCCATACACATAATGATATATGAATTCTGACTAGATTTGGGAGGGATAAGCCAATTTTGTCAACCATCATCCAACTTGGGAAACTCACTCCACTGTAAGACTTTATTATCAACCCCTTCAAATTCGGGTGTGGACGTAGGGATTCCAACAATAACTCCACCTCCTGATCATCAATTATAGAAAAACCTAATTCCAGCGTATTAAGGTACTGTTTTGCCTCCAAGTAGTTTGTTCCCTCCATTCTTCCCTCTGCTGCTGCTGTGTTTTTCCAATGCCATCGTCTACGTGCGTCCCTACGTCTACTTGAGTCCCTGCGTCTCTTTAAGTCAATAAATAACCTCCCCCGTAGATTATTTAGGCTTCGCAATTCACTAAATCCAGTATTTAAGTCCGTTACAAACCTTGTTAACGTTGAAAGAGACGTCAATTGCCCAAATCCACATGGCATGCCAGTCAAGTCATGACACTCTTCACACTCAAGATGCCTGAGGCTAACCAATTTCCTAAAATCTGTTGGCAATTCTTTAAGAAACCCACATCTATTGAGTTTTAGAGTCTCCAAATTTTGCAACTTGGTTATAGAACTTGGCAGAGTCTTCATGTGATCACCACTAAGATCAAGATATTTTAAACGTTTCAGGTTGCTTATGTAACTCGGCACGATCTCGATCCCCAAGTTGGACATATTCAACACGCGTAAATATTTATAAGTAGAAACAATCCTTTCAAAAACCGTTTCTTCTAAATATTTATTCTTCAAAATAAATGTCCGTAACTTGTTAGCTCTCAGCAAGTTGGTTGGAATTTCCCATGATGAATCTACAAAATAACCACATGACACGTGACGAGTTCTTTCGGTAACATTTTTTGCATCTGAATTCTCTACTGAACTCTTGAGCCTCGCAACATTTTCTGCAACATCATGGACAAGATCATGCATTTTGCAACTTATTATCTCACCCCATTCATCTGTTCTAACATCTTGAAAAAATGACCTCCTTAGTAAATCCATAAAATACAAATCACCTACATCTTCCAATTGTTGATTCTCATACACTGACGGAATCAATCCCTCTGCAATCCACAATTGGATCAATTCTTTCTTATAAATTTTTTCATCTTTCAAATACAAGGAACAAAATGCAAAGCATCGCTTCAGATTCAAAGGGAGGTAATCGTAACTTATCTTTAGTATTGGCAAAATAACATCCTCTTGTTGAGCTATTTTAAACAAATCGTTATCTTTGAAAACCAACCACTCTGCATCTGTATTTTTAGAGTATAGTAGGCTTCCTATAGCCTTTATGGCAAGAGGAACCCCCTTACACTTCTGTACAATTTCCTTCCCCATTGTTACTCGACATGGATTCTCATGCTCTTCCCCCTGTTTCAATGCCATTTGCTTAAATAAAGACCATGACACCTTATCACACAAGCCTTCTAAAAAATATAGAGAATTTGTCCCCGTAATATTTGCAACTAAATTATTACGGGTTGTTACTAAAATTTTACTTCCTCTTGAACCACCCATCAATAGATTTCTTAATTCTAACCAATTATCACGATCTTCATTCCACATATCATCCAACACAAGTAAATATCTTTTTCCCTCAATTTCTGTCCTCAAATGCTTTTGCAATTCTTCCATATGAAGGGCTTTACCTGCTTCAGAACCTACGATTTTTTGCACAATGAGTTGCACATCAAAGGGGTTAGAGACAAACACCCATTTCATAAGTTCAAAATGTTTGGTGACCTCTTCATCATTATAGACTAATTGTGCAAGTGTGGTCTTTCCTAGTCCCCCAATACCAACTATTGCAACAACTGACACATTCTCTTCCACGTTAGTGTTCAATAACATTTCTACAATATTAGTTTTATCTTTATCCCTCCCAATAACAGTTTCTGGATGAACATAAGAGTGAGTCTCCTTCTTCTTAGTATTCTCTACAGGCCGCTCAATGAGGTGAAAGTTTCTCCTGTCTTGTGCAATTGCATCTAGTCTCTCCCTAACGGCCTTAATCTTTTGAGCCATCTTATTTGAGCTTGAGAAGAAATTGCGTACCTTTTTTAGCCTTTTGTTCTTAGTCAGAACTTTGCGCCGGAGAATTTGGGTGGAGAAGTCATTGAGCAAGTCATCGGCATCATAAAATACATCGTTGAGCTTTTCAAGCCAGTCTTCAACCTCAGTGTTTGTGGCTTTCTGCTCCTCTGCATCAACAAGCACTGCTCTGATTGTGGAAACTGTGTTTTCGAGTTTGTGAAGTTCTTTCTTCACACCCCGCACCAGTTTGATCTCTTGGTTGACCATCGAACCCAACTTCTTCAGGATTTGAGTTATAGTGTTGTAAATAACTGTTTCAGCCATTTTTTTTTTAATTTTCTTGTTGAGACAGACGATCAATAGTTTCTCTGTTGGGCATACTTTAATGTTCATTTCACAATTGGGGCAAAAAGCCCCTGTTCAAGTGGGTCCTTGGTGAGCGAAGAAAAAAATAAAAATAAAAATAAAAAAGATGGCTGGTCAGTCAAAGAAAAAGCAGGATGAAGCAACTAAGCAGAGGCGGAATGACAAGAGTGATAAAAAATAAAAATAAATAAATAAAATAAAAAATAAAAAAATCATTCATAACTATTGTCTACTTTTCTTTTCCACGCGCTCTGTGAATCTTCATGGAAAGTACGTCATGGACCATCAGTTACCAACAGTTTCTTATTGTTCACCAACCCAGTTCACAAATGGAGTATTTCTCTTTGCCTGCATTTTGCAATCAATGAGGACCCACCTGATGAGACTTGATTATCAATTTATTTGTACGGATTCACATGCTCATGTCGCCAATTTTCTTTCTGTGAATTGTCCTATTACTAGGTTAAAAAAAAAAAAAATTTGTCCTATTACCTCTTTTTTATGTTTATCACAACCACCCGTTGTAGAACGTCAAGCACGCCTTTCCAACGTCACAGGGAGCGTCGCAGGGCTTTTTCGGAGTGGAGCTTCCAACTGCTTAGACATTACGGGCGCAAATTCTTTGATGTAATTATTCCCGTTGTTCTCAGTGGGCACGAATCGTCCGCCGTAGATCGTTGAGTTATCTCCTATTATAAGTTCTTACGTGGTATATGTTTGATCACATCATTCATTATTATTTGACAATTAAAATCGTAGTTGATAATTACACCATCATTTATAAGTAATATTTCACTACCATTTATAAATAACATCACAAGATTTAAAAAGTAATATCACAGGATCTAAAAAGTAACATCACCATTTATGTGCATACCTTAATTTAAGAATGAAGATACTAATAAATGGTGGTGTAACATTTTACCACCATTTATAAGTAACATCACATGATCTAAAATGTAACATCACAGGAGTCTATGTGCATACCTTAATTTAAAGGTAAAGAAACTTATAAATAGTGGTGAAATGTTATTTATAAATATGGTGGTGTAATTGTCAAACACAGTATTTTAAATTGGGTTAAGTTTGTATGTGACATTACTTAGTCTGTCTTATGTGCATAACTTATTTTGTGTGTGAAGATACTTATAAATGGTGGTGAAGAAAGATCCAAACGTTGCCTCAATTCCACTCAAACGCTGCCTTAAGAGCTATTAAATGAAGAATGATGTGGCAAAGTGTAGGCCACTTAAAACTCACACCAGGAACTGCATAGGAATCTCACATAAGAGGATTTGCGCTCGAATAATATGGGCGTGAATCACCTGTTGTGAGATTCCTATGCAGTTCCTGCTGTGAGTTTTAAGTGGCCTACATTTTGCCACATCATTCATCATTTAATAGCTCTTAAGGCAGCGTTTGAGTGGAATTGAGGCAGCGTTTGGATCCTTCTTCACCACCATTTATAAGTATCTTCACGCACAAAATAAGTTATGCATATAATACAGACTAAGTAATGTCACATACAAACTTAACTCAATTCAACATACTGTGTTTGGCAATTACACCACCATTTATAAGTAACATTTCACCACCATTTATAAGTATCTTCACCTTTAAATTAAGGTATGCACATAAATGGTGATGTTACTTTTAGACTCCTGTGATGTTACTTTTTAGATCCTGTGATATTACTTATAAATGGTAGTGAAATGTTACTTATAAATGGTGATGTATCATCACCCTTAAATTAAGATATGCACATAAATGGTGATGTTACTTTTAGACTCCTGTGATGTTACTTTTTAGATTATGTGATATTACTTATAAATGATTGTAAAATGTTACTTATAAATGTGGTGTAATTGCCAAATGCGGACTTAGTGTCTGTTTTATAAAGAAATACGTGGCCAAACCAATGTCACAAGACAGTGGACAGCAGGAACTGCATCGGAATCTCACAGCAGGTGATTTGCGCTCGTTCTCAGTTGTCCATTGTTTTGCGGCCTTGATTTGGCCAAGTATTTATTCATAAAATAGACACTAAGTTCGTATTTGACAATTATATTATTATTTATAAGTAATATTTTATTACTATTTATAAGTATTATTATAAGAGTCTAAAAAGTAACATCACTATTTGTAAAAGGGAACATCATCACTTAAATAATATATAAGTATATACATATACATATACAAGAACGCTTTGAGGCTAAAGTACTGAATATATATAAATATATATATAACATCACCATGTTGAATTAAGTTAGATATATGTGTGAGTATTAATTTTTCAGCACTATGTAAATACTTTTTATTTATTTATTTATAGTGAAGGTGGTGAGTGTGGCAATTAATATTCAATTTTGCCAAAAAAATTTCAAAGATAAGTTAAATAATTTATACCTAAGTGCATGTTTTTTTAATATTTGAAAAAAAAGAAAAAAGAAAAAAAGATTTAACTCTTTTCATTATTTTTGGAAATACAAGTGTTTTGTTTGTTGTCTAAAGTTAATCAAAGTGACTTTAATTTTGGTTTAAATTATTTAAATTAACATGTTAAAGTGTTTTTAAAATACTTTAATTTGAAATAATAACATAAATGATATGTTGAATTGAGTTACGTTTATATGTGACATTACTTAGTCTGCATTATGTGCATACCTTATTTTGAGAGTGAAAATGATTTATTTTTGTTAATTTAGCTATCAACAACCTTTACTATTTAAGTAGTGATGTTACCCTTTTTACGAATAGTGATGTTAGTTTTTAGACTCCTATGATGTTACTTATAAATGGTGGTGAAATGTTATTTATAAATGGTGGTGTAATTGGCCAAACACGGCCATAGTGTCCGTTAGCTGAAGAATGATGTGGCCAAATATGGACCACTTAAAAGTTACTGCAGGAACCGCATGGGAACCTCATTGCAGAGGATTTGCGCCCTAGACATTAGTATATAGTATTTGAGTATGGGTCGGATTCTTTTCATCTTTTTAAGTTTCTGACTTAAAATACGTGTTTATATTGGGTCGATATGAATAGTCGGGTTTATCTTATAATTACAAGTTCAGAGGGCGAATAATTGCTTGTATTGTGGGGTCAGTATGAATAGTCCAGGTTTAGTTGATAATTACAAGTCTAGAGAACAAATAATTAAAAGGGCTCCTACGCAGGGGGTACATGCCCCTGGCCTGACCCACCCTATATTATATATATGAATTTTTATATTTTTTTGTACATATATATAAAACATTTGTATATTATGCCCCCCTTAATTTCCAAAATTTAAGTCAAATTTTCCTTATTCATTCATGCTCTAATTAGTTTAGTTCAAAATCCTATCATTTTTCTTTCCCTTTATCTTCTTATTTGTGTTTTTCCTTCTATTCCTTAAAATTCTTCAAAAAAAAAAAAATTCCACTGTGCCCCCTTTGAATTTAAATCCTGACTCCGCCCCTACTCCCACGTCATCTAACAAAAAAAAAAAAACCTTTTTTTTCCCAATAGGTTTACAATTTACAAAGAAAAAAAATGGCGTAAATATTTTTCTAAAAAATGTTGGGTTTGTTAGTTCTCCAAACTGTAACTTGTGCCGGGGCTAGGAGTATACGACATATGCTCTTCAACATTAGTGAATACATGAACACATTATGTAGATATAGATTATGTGCAGAATCGATTTGTCTCCTCTCGGTGTAGAGGTTCCTTGGAGTCTCAGGAGTGGAGAGCTGCGGGGTTTTCTTCGCCTTGTCTTTCTGCTGTAAGTGTGTTCCTTTTGTGGAAAGGGTTTGCTTTCCCTCGCAGCTTGTTCTCGATTCCTGGTTGTCCGTTTTCTTGCTTGGGGCTGTGTTTGTTTCTTGTTGTTTTTTTAGGATTTGGAGTTCTTTTCCTTTCCATCGTTCCAGTTGTGCGATTTCTTCGGTTTTTACCCTATTGATGATATTAGCTGTGTGATTGCAGCGATGTGCACGGCTGGTCTTTTGCGATTAAGGATTTTTTCAAATATTCACCTTTTGGTGGTGGTTTTCCTTGCGAAGTGTGGTTTCAGTGTTTATTTTGATCTGACCGTCCTCAATTCTTTAGGGTGTGAAGGTGGTTTTGGGTGTTTCGCTGTTCCGATGCCACCTGTGTAACAAGGGTGGTTTCGATGGCACTAATCCTAAGGTGAAACATTGTTGTTACGCCACTCCTTTTTGGTATGGGCCTTTTTGCTTGGGCTGTTACGGGTTGCTTCTTTTCGGCCAAGGTTAGGTTAATGAGCTCTAATAACGGTGGCCCAATTTGTTGGTCTTTAATGCATTAACTTGGCCCATTTATCTCTTTGGCTTTCCAGCCTTCTGTGTCTTACATGGAGAATTGCCCGACTCAATGGATGGAACCTTCAGTTTTATGTTCAACGCCGCCCTTTTTTTCTTCCTCTACAATTATCAGATCTTCTACCAGTTCGTATGATCTTCCCTCATCCACTGCAATACGGTGTCCTATAAGGACGGCGGATGTTCGAGCTGCAGATCCATCTGCTTGACCTACAGTGTTTCCTAATATACTGGTGTGGAACTGTCAAGGTTTGGGTTTGGCTTCGACAGTTCAACAATTGCAACGACTCATCCGTAAGTTTTCCCCTCTTATTGTTGGTCTCCTTGAAACGAAGAATAGTAGGCATCGACTTACTCAGGTACAAAATTTATTGGGTTTTCCTAATGGTTGTTTGGTGGAGCCTGTGGGTCTTGCTGGGGGGATAACGCTTTGGTGGAAGGATGAAGTTCACTTGCAGGTTGTGGAAACAACTAGATTCTTTATTACTGCTAATATTTTATCATCTACTCAGGCCTTATGGACCTTGTCTGTTATATATGCGAGTACAGTTGATAGTTTTTGCGCTACACAATGGTAGTATTTAGCTCAATGGGCTAGGTCGTGGTCTAGAAGTTGGGTGCTTATTGGCGATTTTAACGATATTCTTCACGCTTCTGAAAAGTGTGGAGGAATGCTTACGAAGGTTGGTAGCTTAAGTCGTTTCGATTGCTATTAGAACGTTGTGCATTGGTGGATATTGGTTATGAGGCCTTTCCATTCACTTGAACTAATCAGCGTGATGGGATGGCAAATATTAAAGAGTGGCCTGATCGGGCAGTGGCGACACATGATTGGCTTTGTCTCTTTCTTCAAGCTAAATTGTCCCATTTAACCGTGGTGGGCCCTGATCATCATGCCTTACTGTTAGAACTTCAGCATGTGGTTCAATTGCGGAAACGCCAGTTTCACTTTGATGCCCGTTGGACTTTGACTAAAGATTTTGCTTCCATTATTGCTGGGGCTTGGTCTACTCATGTTCAGGGTTCTGTTCAATTTCGATGGGCTCAAAAATTGAGGCATTGTAAGGCTAATCTTTTATATTGGGTTAAAGCTCGGAATTCTAATTCCCGTGTTCAAATTACTTGGGCAGAATCACGACTTCGAGTATTTAAAGCTCGCACTGTGAATTATAATCATTCAGAGGTCGTTCAAGCAGAAAAGTTTTTAAGCTCTTGT